ATATTACACATACATATGCAAAAAAAAAAAATTTTCCAATACCATCCGATCATCCGTGATCCAGGTACCGAAACACTTTTATTTTTTCACAAATTTCTATCCACATTTTTTTCTTTTATTTTCCACATTATTACTATTATTATTATTATTATTAACACTAATTTTTTTTTTTTTAATATCACATCTGAAAAAAAAAAAAAAAAAACAAATTATATGTATATATATATAGAAATTAAAATAAAAAGTGAAAATATAATAATATATATATATATATATTAAATGATTGGTAAAAATATACTTACTTACGCTTCTGCGCCCTCAAGGGATCAAATGAAAAGGCATTACGTTTTCCTTTTTTTTTTTTTTCTTTTTTTTCCTTTTTTTTTTTTTTTTTTTTTTACTTTTTCCAGTTAAAAATTAGTTGTAAATGAGTGTGTTTGGGCCAAGGTCCTCTGGAACCGAAAATTAATTCATGAACTAGAGCAAAAGGTCAAGTTTTGATTTTTTTTTCTTTTCTTTTCTTTTCCTTTTTTTTTTTGTGTTTTTCAAGGACGTGTATGTAATCGTCACTGATCCCCGGTGAAAATAATAATTTCACTTGCAACAAAATAAAAAAAAATGAAAAACTATTAAAAACAAAACAGAGTTTAACGATTAAATAATTAAAATTAATCAATAATATTTATTTTAAATATTTATAAACCTTTTCCTTTTTAAATTGCTCCCAAGATAATTGATTTAAACGTAAACAATTATTATTATTATTGTTTTTTTTTCCCTTTTACCCCTTTAAAAATGTCTTGCACGAAACACTCCTATTTAAATAAATAAAATTAATTTTATTATTTAAATGAGAAAAAATTATTTTATAACATTTTTTGAATTTTCTTTTCTTTCTTTCTTTCTTCTTATTATTATTATTATATTATTATTAACATTAAAATTCCTAATTAAATATTAATAATATAAAAATTTATAATTTTACTCCTGTTTTTTTTAACAAAAAACATAAGAATATGATTTGTATATCATAAACATTTTATACAATATTCATTTCAAATTAATAATGAGATTAAAAATTTTCTATTATTTAATTAAAGGGGGAAACGATAAATATTTAAGGTATCTTTAATTAAATATTTAAAGTGAAAAACAAAACAAATTCAATGATCAATAATCTCAAAAAAATTAATGAATTTTTTTAATTTTCCAATGACTTCCTAATAAATAGTACATATTTGATTTTAATTCAATTAATTATATATAAAAATAAATATAATTTTATTTGAATAAAACATTAAAATCCTATTTAAAATGATTTAATTTTCAACAAAATAACTTTTGATTTTATTAAATATGAAAAAGAGGTAAACATCGATATTAAAATTACAAAAAAAAAAAAAATTTTTTTTTTCTAAATTCTAGGTAATCCGTTTTGTTAATATCAATGTTCACTGGTATCATTGAGTATTAGTAATTTGTAAAACATTACTAAAAACTAAAATAATAATAATATATATATAAAAAAACACAATATTAACATCTTACGTACTAATAAATAAATGAAAATACCTTTTTTTTAAAGCTAAACAATTTAACCAAAAAAAAATTAAAAAAATAAAATAAAAAACGTTATTTTAAAATTTCAGTTAACTCCGACTTGTTTGAAGAAAATCGACCGCAATCTAATGTATTTTCTACTAGCGCTAAAAAAAACCTGGTGGTGAAAACAGTGAACTAATTAATCGTGGACGCAGAATCACTTTTTACCTCCCTTTTTTTTTTTTTACGATAACGAAATTAAATAAAAACTATAGATAATAACAATTTATAAAAACCCGTAAAACATTTCCAATTGATATAATTAAATAATGCTAAAAATTTACAAATCGTCATGTACTTTTTTTTTTTTAAAAAACAAATTTGCAACGAGAAGCAAAATACATATATATTAAAAACATTATAAAAAAACCAACATTTTTTCAATATACTTTAAAAAAATATATGTATATGTATATATACATAAAATATTTGTTTCTGAAAAAATAAATTACAAATAATTATTGTATATTCATAAAAAAATATATATGTACATTCATGCATATATATAGTCAATACATATTTCAAGCAAGCAAAATTACACACTGAAACAAAGTATTTAAAAATCGTAAATTAAATTATAAACCATATCCAAAACCTAAATTTAATTATTATTAACATTTAAAAAAAAAAAAAAAATGTTCTCACGGCCTTTTTTTTTAAAAAATAAAAAAAAGCTTATGATTATTTTTGTTTTCCATCGAGTTCTTTTAATGCTTTTCTTAATATTTTTCCAGATGTGGTTTTAGGGATTTCTTTTAAAAATTGAACACCTCCTTTAAGTTGTTTGTACGAGGATAAATTCTCCTTAACGTAATTTTTAATTTCACCTTCGGAACATTTTTCATTTTCTTTCAATACTACAAAAGCTTTTGGAACTTCCCCTAATCCCGGATGATTCACGCCAATAACTCCAGCATCGGCAACTTTGGGATGACTTCTAATGAATTCTTCCAATTCAGCAGGAGCAACCTGACAAACGAATTATAAACAATACTATTTTGCATATTCAGTTTTTCAAAATTGTTTTTAAATAAATTTGAAATTTTATACCTGAAATCCTTTTACTTTAATAATTTCCTTGAGTCTGTCGTTAATAAAAAAATCAAATTCTTCATCGTAGTAACCGCTGTCTCCAGTTTTAAGCCAACCATCCTCATCTAAAGTGCTACGATTTTCTTCCAGACGATTTAGATATCCTTTCATTACCTAAAAAAAAAAAAATTTATCTTTAATTTTGCACAACTTGACATTTTCAGAAGAATGCTATAATTCAATCTTACCTGAGGACCTTTAACATGAATTTCTCCGCTTTTTCGAGGTGGTAAAGATTTTCCAGTATCAACATCTACCACTTTCATTTGAGTTAAAGGAACCGGATGACCTATTGAGGAATATTTATGAAACCTATCTTTATGTGATATAGTAACAATAGGTGAAGTCTCTGTCATTCCGTAACCTGATTAAAATAAAACAATATTCAAAATAATTTTAAAAACTTAATTTTTGAATAGTTTTTAATAGCGTAATGTTCTACCCTGAGAAAAATCAACATCTTTTCCTTTTTCCATTAGTTTATTTACATCTTTTTCACCACATGGTCCGGCACCAACAACTATATGTTTAATGAATTGTAAATGTTTACGTTCCACAAATGATGAACTTCCGAGGAAAAAAACTAACGGAGGTACCAAGTAGGCAATTTTAATCTAAAATGTAAAAAAATATTATTATTGCCGCCATGTTAAAACTTTAATAAAAACAACCTTTTTCTTTTCACAGGTAAAATAAAAACATTTACTTTTTCTCGAACCAATGTCTCTAAAAAAAGTTTTGGGTCAAATTTAGGCAAAGTCACAAGTCGTGCTCCATCGCTGATAGCATCTAATGTAACTACAACCATACCGTAAATATGAAACATTGGTAAAACTCCAAGTATTGAACACTCAGAAATGTCTGAAAACAAAAATTACCATCATTTTTATATATATATATACTTATTATATGACTCAATCTTATTATGAAAAACAAAACCTCTTGTCGATGTGATTTTCAATTCATTAGCTGATTTAAATTGCAACAAATTAGAAACTATATTTTTATGAGTTAATTGTACTCCTTTTGGAAGACCACTGGTACCGCTAGAATAAGGAAGAACAAAAACATCGTCTGGACTGCTTACAGTAGAATGAAACTCTTTTGCTGACAAATCATCAATCAAGTCATTAAAATCTATTAATCCTAAAACAATAATTTTACACCATTATTTAAAATATTTAATTAAAACCTTAGAACAAATAAATTTTATAGTTTTTTTTTTTTTTTTTCAAAAACTTCTGATAAAAAATTAGATTAAGAAAGAAAAAAAAAAAATTTTTATGGCACACGTACCTTGAGGTATTTCATTTTCAGGATGACTTTTAACAATAACAATGGGTATATTAATTTTTAATAAATTTACAGCAGTGATACAATTTTCTTTTGCTTGGGCAACGGTGAAAATCACTTTAGCCTTTGTCTCTTTTAATTGATGAGAAATTTCGGCTAAAAGTAAAAGAAAAAAATTAATGAACATTTACTTACTTGTAAATATTTAATGAAACTTTAACTTTTTAAATTAAAAATTACACAAAATAATTATAATAAGTAAACCAAAAATTTTTAACTAAATTTACCAGCTGTGTATTGGGGATTAAGAGTTGTAACTATAATTCCACTCATAGAGCAAGCCATAAGTATGGTTGGATACTCGGGACAATTAGGAAGAATCACTGCAATCAAATCTTGTTTTTGAAGTTTAAATTTTTTCAAAAGCATGTTTGCAACAGATTTAGATATTCTATAAATATCTTTGTATCTAAGTTTTTTTTGTATCAGTGCACATTCCTAAGAGCAAATATAAAATTTATTTTCCAACATGAATAAAAAAATATTTTTCGTTTAAAAGCATTGAACTTACCACAGCAACTTGTTCTTCCCATTTTCCAAAATTAGAAAAAATAAATTCATGAATTGGAATATCTGGGATGTCAAGTTTTGGATAACATGATTCAACAATAGGTCCATTATTATAAATTAAACAATTTTTTTTTTTTTCAAATTCATCATTATTCCCTGATTGTGAAGAAAAATATAAAACGGAGGATGCATGATTTTTTTTTTTACTAGAAAATAAAAGTTTTTCAGAAACTCTCCAACTAATTTTATGGAAAACTTGCAGCATTTTAATCACAATGATTGATATTGATAAAATAAATCTAAAACAAAAGAAAAAAAAAATAATAATTTCAAGGTGATTAGAAAATAATATAAATTATGCAAATTGAAAGTAATTTTAATATTACCTTGATAAGAATAATGTAGAAAAGTTACAATCAAACAATTGTTTTTTTTTTTTTTTTCCCAATATTTTATTGAAATTAAATTATTGTCATTGTAATAATTTGTGTAAAATATCTATAAAAAAAAAACATGTTTAAATAATCAAAAATGTTTTTTTGAAAGAATAATCAAAGCACAACTGATAAGTAAAACAATAGATAATGGAATATTAAAAAAATACTTGAATGAATTAAACGTATGACGCTATTTACATCAACATTGATGTAAAATATTTTTAATAATATATTTATTTATATAATTTAACTAATAAAATAAATCGAAAATTTAATAAAATAAAGAAATTCGTTGTAAATTACATACCTATATTGGTTTGATTTTTCCTTTTTTGTGAAAGATACAATTATGTAATAAAAAAAATTGAACTTTGGCATTAATTCAGGTACTTATTTATGAGACGTTTAAATAATAATAATAACAAGCTATTTCATGCTAATAACGAAAACAACAACGTGTTTAAAATAATCATAAAAATAACGAGTCAGTCATTTTACACATGATGCATTTTAATTAAAAAAAAACTAATAGAAAATGTTTTTCATTTTAAAAGTTTACTTTTTACATTAAATAAACTATAGTTAAACATTATTATTAAAATGTTAAATTATTAAATATATAATTTTTTCATTCAAAATTTATAAAATTTTCAATTTAAAATGTTAAAAAAAAAAAAAAAAAATATGAAAACAAACAAACAAACAATAATTTGAAAAACGTTTTACCATTTACCATTAGTAAATATGTTACCTTATAAGTCTAATATGGATTAAGTATAATTTCACTGTGTGTGCGCCCTCTTGGTGAATAATTTTGAACTAAATTTTTTGTCCTACGATACTGTGTCGCGTGCCAAAATTTTTTTTCCGTTATTTAAAAATAAATAAATACACCATTTCCATCATAAAAATATAATTCATATTAAAACAAACACGAAAATTAAACTGTTATATTTTTAAATATATTAATTAACTTTTTTTTTTTTTTACACATGTTTATTTATAAGGTTAAAAAAAAAAATAATAATAATAATAATACAAGATGGAAGACAAATTTTACGAGTTGATAAAAAAAATGACCGTTATTGAAAACAATGTTTTTTTTTTTTTTTTTCATGGGTGAAATAAAAAAAAAATAATAATAATATTAATAATTCAATATAGAATTTTAATTTAATGAGAACATAAATTACATTAAGGTTTCCATAATAATAATATTTTAAATGCATAATTTGATTTAGGTAAATAAATAAATACAAACAGAAAAAAATATTCACCATATTTAAATAAATAAATAAAAATTAACATTATTATTATTATTTTTTTTTACTTTGAAGAGTATTAAATATAAAATAAAATATCTAATTAAATTAAAAATGATTAAATCAACAAAAAAAATATAATTTTTTTTTAAAGAGAAATAAAAATAATTTATCATTTTTTGTACATAAACATTTTGATTGATACATAACTTTTTATTGTTTTAAAATTTTAAATATTTATTTATTGAATATTTATATAATATCAAAATAAAACACAATATATATATATATATATAAATTTAAAAAAATTACAAAACAAACAAACAAACAAACGTTTGTTTTATTTTAATTATATTTAAAAAAAAAAAAAATTAAATGCAATTGTTAACTAAACAAAAAATTTTCTCATAACATTTACAAATATATATATATTTTTTTTATTTAATAGAATTTATATAAATAATATTTTTTTTTTTGTAAATAATTAATTAACGAGGAACAATTATTTAGTTTAGTTTTGGTGAAATTACTTTTATCACAATTTATTAAATGTATTACATTTAAAATAAAATAATAAAATAATTGAAAAATTATTTTTTCTTTCAACAGTAGAATTCAAATTTTGGTGCCAATTTAAATTCAATTTCTTCATTTTTATACATGTCCAAAACCTAAAAAAAAAAAAAAAAAAATTTAATGTATAAATTTATACTTTTTTTCCATGTTTGTTAACAAATAATTATTTTCCTACATTTTGTAAATCTTTTGTCAATGCCTCCAACTCTTTATCATGTCTCGCTTTTAATTTTTCAACTTCTTTATTCTGTTTCATTTTTGCCATTCTTCTTTCATCCATAAATTTTTTCGTATTATTTTGTTTCTTTTCCCTAAGCCTTCGATCTTTTTCTCCTTTCGGTTTCAGCGTTTTATCATTTGACTTCTTTCATCGTTTCGACGGATATTTTCGCTTGTCGTGAATTCATTTCTTTTATTCTCTACAATAGAAAAAAAAAAAAAAATAATGATAATAAGGAGGTTGAAGAAAATATAGAAATTTTAATAGAAAAAATAAAAAACCTTTCGTGTTTGGCTTCGATTTGTTTTATTTGAGATGCTTGTGATGCCTTCATTAATTTTTTTAATATTTCTTGCTGATCTAGAACGTGTTGCTTTAATAATTCCCATTCTTCTTTTCTATGTCTCTCTTGCATTTCGCTCCATTGTTGAGTTTGTTCATTAACAAGTTTTAATATCATCGGATCTGATGTTAAATCGTTTTTGCTAAAAAAAAAAAATAATAATAATTTAATTGGTGTGTAGCAAATAATAATAATGTTTGACAGAAAACTACTCACTCTCGTCCTTTGACAACTTTCTCAACGGCCGAACATTGATTTTTTTCAATGAGTCCTTTTTCTTTCATCTGTTTTTTTTTTAATATATCAATTTCTTTTTGCTGTTTTTTAGCAGTTTTTTGAAATCCTTTTTCCGATTTTAAAACATCCACATTGATTGGCTCCAATTTTAAATCTTCCACTAAAAAATGAATAAAATTTTGAATTATTCATTCTCTTATAGAATTAAAACAATAAAAAAATTAAAAAAACCTTTTTTTTCTTCTTTTTTATCTCCGGATTTGCTTCCTTTTTTTCCACCCGTTCCCACACCTTCTCCATCCTTCAAATCTTTTATGTCTGTTTCCTCGATTCCCATGGCTTTCATTTGTTGGGCTCTTTTTTCTTGCGCTGACATAAAAGCTCGCGGATCTGACAAAGCCGCCATAAAATCTGTTGTAATAATAATAATTATTTTTTTTTTTTTGTGATTTAGAAAAACAAACAAAAAAATTATCTTTAATAAGAACTTGCCTTCAAAACCATCAGGAACGTAAATTTTTAATTCAATATTACAAAAAAGCATCGGCAATGACATCGGAAAATTAGCTTCCGTTCTCAGGGATATATGTCTATAACCAGCTTGTAAACCGTCCAATGGTAAAATCCTTTGACCCAACAATCTTCCATTTTCATCGTAAACCCCGAATCGAAGTACAGCCAAATCGGGAAGGACGACCTGGAAAAATAAAAATAAATTTAATTATTTAATTTAAAATAATATTAAATATTAAAATTTAAAGTGAATAAATTATTACTTTTCTAAATAAAAAAGGTTCTTCGTTGTATACTGGATTCAAACCATTTGAGGGAACCAATCTCGTTCTAAATTCTTTTCTGATTGTATCGGTGGGTAATCCGTACATATCTACTTCGACGTATGTACCTATTTTTCTGTCTGATAAAAATTGACCGGCTATCACCTGTAATTATTACAAAATTAATTATTAATCTCAAAATATTTACTGAATTAAGAAAAAAGAAAAAAAATTTACCTGGACGGCACATTGCGCGGCTATAACTCCGTCCACGGGACTTTCTGCGAAAGGATCAAATGACCTATCGCTGCGTCTCATGAAATCAGGTTTAAGTAAATAACCACAATTTCCATTGTATTCGAATTTTCCCTGATTAAGTTGCATCGGAAGATCCGCTGTTTGAAAATTTAATGATACCATTTGGCAACCGGCGTTCCAAAATACCTGAAAATACCATCGAACATTTTTGTACATGGTAGCAAAAGAGAATAATGAGATTAACTCCCTTAAAAATTATTTAACAATAACCTGAGGCATGTAATTTGAAGAATCAGCTCTTGTACCTTTTGGATAAATTCTTGACATTTGCCTTTTGTTGTAATTAACAAATTCAATTGCTTGAGATTTAAGGTATCCTAATCCAGCTGTTTCCACAAAAGAAGACATGTTGTAATGTATGTTGTTTTCTAAAAAAAAAAAAAAACAAAAAAATTATTTTTTAAAAAGTACCATCTTTCGATATTTATTAAATGAAAAGAGGTTAGTAAACTTACTATCAGCAACGTCAAAACCCTGAAATTTAATTGGTTGAGCGTAGTTGACCATAGATGAGAGCCAGGGATGAACGTTAGTCGTTGATCCAGTATATTGGATTTGAACGGGAGGAATTTCGGGAATTTCACCAACAATATCACCAACTTCTTCCTGTCAACAAAATTTAAAAGAATTTAATAAATTTGCATTTGATAAATTTTTTTAAAGAGCGACTTTTTATACTAAACTACTAAATACTTTTAAATACTTAAATACTTTTTTTATACTAAACGTATAAAATGTAAATTAACCTTTTTTTCTTCGGGAATCGGTACAATCGCAGCTCTGGCATCTTCTTTTGGCTCATCGTCTGATATTATAAATTGACCCTGAAGAAATAAGTCTAATTCTTGCTTTTCGACTTCCGGTTTTAATCGTTTATTTTTAATCAATATTTTTCTCAATAATTTATTTG